TAACAAGCAATCCCAGGTGATTTGGTCTCTTCAATGGCATATGTTTGTGGCAGAGGCTGTTTGAACTCTTGGTTAGTGTGCTTGGGAGGCAGCTTGAAGAAGTCTTATCTACTTTTTGTCACTCGGTTGATGTTTTAAGGCATTGCAGAAAGCTGACAGTGAACCACAGGTCTGCCAGATGCATTTTTTTCCATGAAGACATTCTGATGAGTCATCTTCTCTTTTTTTTTTTCTTGTGGAACCAGGGATTGAACTAAAGCCCTTGTGCTTGCCAGGCAAGTGCTTACTCTACTGAGCCATATCGCTGGCCGTGAGTCATCTTCTTGAGGCCTGTTCTCCTTACGTGATGAAATTCTTTTTAATGTAAAAGTGGAATAGAAAATTTTAACCAGTCCTGCAGAAATGGCACTTTAGTCTCTGACTTCACACTGTCATTTAGCTGGCACTCTTTATGACTTGAGGTTATCTTAAAACAGAAAAGGGAGGAAAGCTTTCCTATGCTTTGGGTAGGAGACAAATTTGCTTTGGTAGAATTTGTGGCTGAGGAAAGCAGAGAGAGCCTGGCTGCCGAAGACATATATCACCACCAGCCACCAAGTTAAGTTGTAGAAACCAAAGGTGACAGCCATGGAAATGTAGATCATCAGCTCTGCGAAGTAATTAGGGGAGGAAACACATTCAAACCAGTCTCCAAAAGGGATCCTGTGGTTGCAGTGAATGACCACTCCTGAAAGGGAAAAGATTTCATGAGTATTTGAAGTCTTGTAAGAAAGCCTTACCATTTTGCTCCCTGAATTATTTTGCTGCAAGAAGAGTTTCACACAGCTGCGTGCAAACCACCATCTTGTCACATTTCCACGGACAGTCTACTGTGTATCTGAAAGTCACACCCTGAGGTTACACTGTCACTCTTCAGGAGCACAAAGGCCAGCTAGTTCCTCCAGCAACCTTCCATGCCAGCCACTAATAAAAGCTCAGACTCCAGTGTTAGGCAACGTGAGTTCACATGCTGGTTCTCCCACTTGCTACCCTGGTAACTTCAGCTAAGTGCCTCATTTTCTTAATCTAAAATGAAGATCAGACTATATTCATCTCAGGTGGGAATTGGGAAGCTGTAGCATTTACAACAGGGATTCATGCATAACAAGCATGGATAAACATTAAATACTTTCCTGTTTTTAGTATTTAAAATACTAAAAACTACCCACGACAAGCCAATACAAGCTAACTAGAAGGTGAAGTTGTTTTGCTTGGCTGGGATAATAGTAACTCCACAGTAATATGAGCTCTACTGGTGAAGTAGCACACCTGTACAGTGAAGTCCCCAGATGTAGGCACAGCACAGATTCACAGGTGTCAGGGCTGGACCGAGCCAGAGAGCTCATCACAGAATAGCTCTTAGTATACAGATGGAAAGATCTAGCTTCACAGAGGTATCTTGTTAAAAATGAGTATTTGACATAGGTTAGTCAACAACTAGGACAGGAAAGAAAAAATACAGAAAAGCAGAGAACTAACTTCTGAGGCTTACCATCCACACACAGAGGCTGTACGGCAATCTCACCTGCTTTATTTCTCCTGAGGTTGCCGAGAATGACGTGGCACTTATACTGGTGGACAGATGACCAGATAAACATCATCATCCCAAGGATGTGGAACCACCGTGCTTGCATCAAGGGATTTTTCCCTATTACATATACTGCGGAAATAAGAAATATCTTATTAGCCTGTTCTGTAATTTTGCTATGGCTTGTGTCTAGCAGTCCCTCCAAAGCCTCATGCAGGGGACGGGGGTAGAGGTGGCTGAATCTAGAGTGTGTGACTGATTCAGGGTGCAATGGTTGTGGTACATGTGCTAAGATTAAGGGTGGGTGATTACTAAATCAGTCCACTGATGGGTTTGGTACTACCCTAATCCTGGTAGCCTGGATACAATGTAAGAACAGAAAGAAGCTGGTCTTGTCCCTCACTTTGCTACCTTCTGCCTGCCATGAGCTCTTTCTCCTCTGAAAAACCCCTCTGCCATGCCACCTTGCCTTGGAGCCAGCTGACTGTGAACTGAAATTTCTCCAAATTGAGAGCCAAATAAACCTTTCCTCCTTTAACTCTGGAAGTCAGGTCTTTTGTCTCAGCAGTGAGAAAAGTAACTAAGACAAAATTTCCTCTCAACTAGCGAGATATTTTCCTCAGGTGTGCATAGCTTTAGTGACTGCCAGCAGGGAAGTTGATATTGAAATTCTCCTGCTCCTCCTTCAGATACTTCAGGCACTGTCTCCTTCAAACGCACAGGTCCATTTTGGGGGATCTGCTCTTGGGTGTGATGAGACTGCCTTGGGTTTCCATTGCTAAGCCCCACTTAAGTCTCCTTCCACTTTACTGTCAGGAGAACAGGATGCTGAAGAGACAAAGTTGTCCATAGATAGTAGAAAAGAGCCTGAGGCTCTGGAGCTGAGAAGGAACCTCTGAAAGGTAAATTCATGCTGTTCCCTACGGGCCCCTACAGGTGCCACTGGAGGACAGTGAGGACAGTGAGGACAGCTAATTACTAGTGAGAACATACCAAAGTCCACCCATCTCTGCTTAAAACCTGTGCTATAGAATCTGCTATCATCTTTTTAGTATGCACTAAAAGATTATATTTTTCTAAGTTAAAAATAAAATGTGGAAAATATGGTTTTAAATCTGATAGGCTTCAAGAGTAAATCCCCATAGAACTGAAAGTTCAAGTGAACATGTAGGAGTTCACATCACTAATACCATGTCTCCTACTCTATATGGAGAGGCTTCACCTATAAGGAAACTAGAATTTATGATTAAGGCCAGCTTTATAATGCAGGTAAGGTACACAATCATACAGTTACTAATTAGTGAGTGTCTCCTGAGCTTGGCCTATTGCAGGCACAGAGAATAAACCAGCAAGTCAGGCACAATCCTTGACCTTAAGAAGCTTTCTTTATGGATTACAGACCTTCTTTCCACTTCCATATGGACCATGGGAAGTGAGTATGCTCCTAGTTATGGATGGGGAAGCCAAAGCTCAGAGATTCAGTAGGACAGACCTAGGGAAAGGGGATCCCCAAGCCCTCGGAAGTTCTACTAGACCCTGTATCTGGCAAATACCCTAATGTGTCCTCTCTCAATGAATTACTGAAACTAGCTCTCCCCAGATTGTCCCAAGTGGCCCCAGATGACCTCTTGACAGACAAATAGGTAAAATAGAAAACAGATTCAGAAAGGAATGCTTAGAACATTACTTTCTGTGGGTGCCTTGGCTGCCTTTCCTTGACTATTTATAAGAGAGGAAAGACAGAAAGTAGGACCCAGGAAACTCCTAAAGGAATATGCAATGCCAACGGAAGCTGACAGACCGAAAGCTAGTAGGTTACCAAAGAGCAGCAGAAAGTTTCTCGGGTTAAAAACCAGGAATGACAGCTCATAGCTTGGTATTGATGGAATGCGTGGACGCCAAAGCTAAAAAACCAAGGTGGAAAAACTGACTTGAGTAAGTGCAGAGGAATCAGATGGAGAGATACTGGCTGAGCGGCTGTGGTCAGCAAGTACTTCATGAACTGAGCAAGACTGTCAGGAATCCCTACTGTAAAATCTGTCCCTTAGAGAATGGGGATATAGCTCAGTGACAGAGTTTGCTTAGTCTGTGTGAGGCCCTGGGTTTGAATTCTAGCACCACCAAAAAAAAAAAAAAAAAAAAAAAAAAAAAAATCAAAACCAAAACCAAAAACTTAACTTTCCTTTAACCAAAGAGGCTGTGTGTTACACCAATGGAGAAAGGACTCAAAGGAGCACTGATGTCTGATACCAACTTCAGACCTGAGGGGAGGAAGAAGGGCTCACTCAGAGTGTTGGGAATATCTAGATCTTGGTCTCAATTTGTAAGGACTGATGCAGCATCAGTAGGAAAACATGAAACCTGGTATGCAGAGAAAATGGTCAGGAAAGATCTGCAGTGTCTGGGCTGAAGAAGGCGAAGATTAAGTGGACCTCAGAACTAAAAACTCAATCATCCAAAAGAACTTCAATTCTTCATAACACATATACATTGTTTTTATAAAAATGACCCCCCTCACTTAGACCCCCTCCCCCAGATAAAACAATAAACCACTTCTTTCTCTTCTCATAAACAGAGGTCTGGCTTCTTCCTCCTGGCTGGAGAGCGCTTTGAAACATTAAGGAAAGCTTTAGTGTAAGGGGAGTAATCACAAGAGCTGACGGCAAGGAGGCTTTTCCTTTTGCTCTCTTCCAATCCTGACTACCCCGCAGGAGCACCTCTCCTCTCACCTCAGGATCTACCTCAGCAGAGCAACTTCCTCCACCTTCCCCACAGCCCAGCGAGGCTCAGACTTCCCCAAGGCCACTTGCTTTGCTGCCCCCATCCCTTGCTCTTGGCCACATTCCCTCCTCCTCCCTTGCCACAGACTAACCTCACATGGATTCACTAGCTTCAGTCCCTTCAGGGAACCCCACTTCCCATTTCATCATTCCTGAGTGGACTCTTGTGAATTTTCTGTCCTTTACCGTCTTCAGGGAAGGCATGACTACTTATGTTGGCTCCTTTAAGACTTTTTTAAAAAAATGTACTACATAGCTCCAACTCAGTGATCCTCCTGTTTTCAGCCTCCCCTGTGCTGGGTAGCAGTGGGGACACCTGGTGTCAGCCCAGTGGCTTCAACTCAATGATCCTCCTGTTTTCAGCCTCCCCACCTGCTGTCAGCTCAGTTCTGCCAGGCCCAGGGCCAGCACACCATGTGGTGCTGGGGATCGAACCCTGGTCCCTGTGCTTGCCTAAGCAGAGACTTAGTCTGATGAGCTGTCTTGCTGGCCCTCCTATAAGTCCTTAGCAATTACAGTTAACATACATATACCTTGGACATGTTGACTTTTTATATTGATTATTGAAGTCTAAGTAGCTTGAATGAAAAGTAGGTGGGGTCAACTCCTGCTCTTGGACTCCTGAGTGCTATGTAAAGCCATCAGGAGTGCCTCGTGCAGCCCATGCCTGCAGAGCCTGGGCTGAGGCAGAGGCTACTCACCAGTTCTGCCATCCATGGGCACCTGGCTAAGCACGGTCAGGCCGACGAGGACGTAGTAGCCAAGGCCAAAACAGTACTGCACGATATGGATCACGGCATCGGAGAAGACACTGACATAGAAGCACTCGAAGAGTCTCCGCCAGCTGTGAAGCCACAGAAATAGGAGTACCAAGAAGGCAGACAGCACCAGCTCACCGCCTGCAATTCAGAAGGCCACTTGCTCAGCTCTCTTCAGGGGTGAAAGCAAGGTTTTGACTTTCCTTACTATTCAGCAAAGTACTAGACATGATTAGTTATGAAAGGGTTCTAGAAATCTCTGTCTAACACGTTTATCTTTTTAGAGTGAGGGCATGGGTCCACTAAAGCCACAGAGCCCAGCTGAAGAAGATGCAGTGAATCAGTGATGCCGGAGGGCAAATGCCCATCTCTGTACTCTGCTGCACCATATGACAGCCTTCCAGGCTGTCATGGAGAAGGGGGTCTGTTAGTGTCTGGCCCCCTGCACAGCCAGATGCAAAAAAGAGTTCCCAGCTGGCCTCAGAACAGTCCTACCTGGTGGAATCCCCAGGCTCCCACAGAAGTAGAGACAGGAATAAAAATAGTTATGAATTTCTTTCCATACTGAAATTAAAAAAAAAAGGGTTTAAGGCACAGCTCACTGATGCAACATTCATACATGCTGTAGTGTGTATGAAACCCTGGGTTCAAGCCCAAGGAACGCCAAAAACATCATCAACAACAAAACCCTCCGAGGTGACAGTGAGCCCTGAAATCTACCCTCCTGCCTGTCTCTCATCCCTTGGTCCCCAAAGAACTCTGAATAACTCATTTTTAAAACAACAGGAAGCCTTTCTTTAAAAAAAAATGAATACCATATACATCATAAGGCTATGCAATGCATCCCACCTGTATCACTGCACCCTAACCAAGAAAGAACAGGGCTAAGACCCCTAATGTTCCCACCCAGGCACTATGCACTCCTTGCACCACTGTGGGGTTACCCATCCACCCCTGTCCCGACTTCTGTTAACACAGATTAGCTTTGCTGTTTGTATATTTTAAATAGATTAAATCTAGTTGTTGACTTTTTAAAAATGTATTTTATTTTATTTTTTTTTAATTTTTAATTTTTATTTTTTTGGCAGAACTGGGGATTGAACTCAGGCCCTTGCACTCAGCAGGCAAGTGCTTATTCTACTGAACCATCTCCCTTGGCCCCTTTAATGTATTTTAGTACAGGGTCTCACTACACAGATGGGACTCGTAGTGATTCTCCTGTTTTCAGCCTCCCAAGCACTGGGATTAAAGGTGTGTGCCACCATGCCCAGTCTCAGTTGTCCCGGGGGGGGGGGGGGGGGGGCGACACTGCAAGCCCAGGAATCGGGATGGGGGATTGAACTCTGGTCCCTGTGCCTGTCTAATCAGGGTTTAGTCTGCTGAGCTATTTCACTGACCCTTAGTTGTTAACTCTTTAGGAACAAATACTAAGACCTAGGTGCTCCGCCAGCAGACACATCAAGTGAGGCTATTTTAATGAGTAAGTGGGGTTTGCTTTGGTACCTCCTCTCACACCATAGGATGTGCATGGCTTCATTCATTCTCCCACTCTTTCTCCCTCTGTGTCTTTGTCTCCAATGAACAGGTTTCATTTTAGCAGATTTGTACATGCATATGCCATGCTTTAACCATTCCTCCACCACTTCCCCTAGTTTCATATGTGGATTTTTTCCTCTTGATTCTTTTTTTTTTCCCCCCTTTTGTAGCAAAGTTCTTTGTTGTACAGAAAAGAATTGTACATAGGGAGCTGGTGGTTTGGCTGCTGGAACAAAGGACAGAGGCAAGGACAGAGAACAATTTGTTTCTAATTGTGCCCCTTGCCCTCTGGAAGGCCACAGCATGGCTTTCACCTTGAACTTTTATTTATTTATTTATTTATTTATTTATTTATTTATTTATTTATTTGAGATGAGGTCTTGCTTTGTTGTCAGAGCTGGTTCTGAATTCCCAGGCTCGAGTGACTTTCTTGCTTCAGCCTCCTGAGTGGCTGAGGCCATTAGTGTGCTGGTTCCTTATTTATTCATTTATTGTATTTTAGGGAAGGGTCTACAGGGTGTTCAGGGTCTCACTACTAGATCGGTCTCATAGTGATTCTCCTGTTTACAGCATCCCAAAAGCTGGGATTACAGGTATGTACCATATGCCCAGTCTCAATTGCCATCTCAGCACACCATGGAGGTGGGGCTGGCACTGCAGGCCCAGGGGTCGAACCCCTGGCCCCTGCGCCTGCTTGTAGGCACTTTAATCCGCTGAGCTATTTGGCTAGCCCTGGTTCCTTATTTAAAAATTATTCAATATATCCCTTATCTGCTGCTGAATGTGGCATATTTAAGGACCTTGTAGTAAAAATCTGGCCCAGGTAAAGGTATATAACCAAAGGTTCACAGCATAACAAACCATTTCACATGTTTACCAAAAGCTAATTTAAAATTAAATTTCTGTCAGATTTGATTTTGGCTGAACTGTATAAATGATAAACGTTGTAGGCAAATCTGAAGGAGCCTAAAAGCATCCTCCCTGTGGATACAGGCTTCTTCATAAATTTTTCAGCAGCAATGTACTAAAAGTATCTGAGGAAGAACAGCCAGTCCCAGCCTCTCCTCTGAGCTTTGGGGAAGTTGAACTGGAGCGCCAACTCTGACCTAGCCATGACCTCAGTGAAGACTCAGGCCAACCCTGTGTCATTTGTGCTGCAAATCTCTTTCATCCTGATGTCAGGGGCTCTGAGTGGTGGTCCCTGAGTGAGGCAAGGGCTGGGCGCACAGCTTCCAGCAGATAGGAGCCAGAGCACAAGCTCAGTGCTATCAGGAGCTGGGGGAGACTTACCTTGTGCCTGCGCTGCCCCAAGAGCTCTGAGCAGACCATGAAGCCAATTTGGAAAAGGCACTCCCAGGAACACAGCTTGGGAAAGGCACCCAAGTAGGAAGCCATTCCACAGCACAGAGATGACATAGAAGTGAGAAAAATACCTGCAACAGGAAAAGGAGGCCGTGACTCACCCACATGACTGATGCTGACAAAGGAGCTACAGACTGCAGTACAGGGCTTCAGGGTAAATCCTGAGGGGATTTGACTGACCTTGGCAGATACAAAAGCTACATTTCTTGTTATATAGGTCTTGCTTTATCTTGGTCTTAACTAAGATAAAGCAGAAAAGTATAAAAACGAGGTATAAATGATAAAGGCATATTAATATGCTGAGCTGTAAAAGGCTCAAGTCAACAACTTCTGACATTGCCAGTCACATGGATAACCTATTGCTATTATGGGCTACTGGACTATATTGGAGTATTTTGCTGAATTCATTCACATACAATATTTAAATGGCAGGGCCAGGGAGATAGCTCAGTAGAATAAGCGCTTCCCTGGCAAGCACAAGGGCCTGAGTTCAATTCCCGGTTCTGTCAAAAAATAAATAAAAATAAACATTTAAATGGCAATGGAACACCCATCTCTGACAAAAGTAAACAAAAAAGGGGGATATAAATGAAGGACCATTTTGTGTCTGTATATACAAAATAGTTAAGATAGATATACAGCTACTTTCTTTTAGTTTCTTAGAGAAGAAAGATTTGTACTAACAGTGTTTGGACAGGATATCATGTCTGCATCTTGTACTCTGAATAACTACTATGAAGACAACAATATGCAATATATTAATTATTGTAACTGTCCTACTAACCTGTTTTGAAACTGTCTCATTACTATCTGTTTCTCAATAAAATAATAATAAAAAAAAAAGAAAAGGGAGGCAATCACTAAAGTAGAACGATGGTAAGCTCCAACACAGAATTATTTTTAGTTCTTCTTCCAGTCTCCAACCCAAAGTTGAGTTTAGCTTTTAAAAAGACCTTGAATCCTTTAGGTGTTCAGATGTTTAAAATTCCCTTGCTAATGATAGTACCAGTTGCCTTGTAGAAAAAAGAGGCCTATCTGAGATCAAGGGATCTTTTTTTAATTTTTCTTGATTCAGGGTCTAAACTATGCAGTTCAGATTCATAGTAATCCTCTTGTCTCAGCCTCCCTAGTGCTGGAATTACAGACATGTGCCACTAAACCTGGTTCTGGGGCCAGGACAGTGTGTCCAGGGTTCTGGGACCAGCACGGCATGCTGTACCAGGGATCGAACCCGGGTCCTTGCACTTGCCAGGCAGATGCTTAGACCACTAAGCTATCTCCTCAGCACCCCCCACCTTCCTCTTTTACAAGTGATCTTAATGATGTAGCCTGAGGGTCAAGTGGTAAGCTCTCTTGTCTCCAGTAATAGAATTGGGCTCAAGCTCCTAAAAAAGGCCATAGACTCTATGGTTGTGCTAACGTAAGTTAAATCTGTGAAAACTTTGGAGTCTTGAGCCAATACTACAGTAATAACCACACAACTATTGCACAAGATTTGCAAAATCACAGACACAGGGCTAGAAGAATCCTTAAAGGTTTTATGCTCCAGTGTTCTTCTGAATTATGCTGACCTAAATATAATGACAAATCCTGCAATAATAGAAATACTATATTAACCATAGGTATGAACTCCTTATATTCCTCAGACAACTATAATGCCCATTTTGCAACAAACACATTTATAAATGAGGTATAAAAACCACAAAACCAATAAAATGAAATTAGCCTTGTAATTCAACATGAAAGCAGCTGACTTGTTAAAATGAAGTCACTAATAGCACAGAAGGACCTCTTCTGTTTTTTTTTTTTTTTTTTGGCAGAACTGGGGATTGAACTCAGCCCCTTGTGCCTGCCAGGGAA